TACGAAGCATGGTGTTCGCCTCGAACCTACCCTTGACATTTTGTTGTAATGCAGCGGAGTACGCGACGTACATCCTAAATCGAAGTAGGACCAAGTCGAACCCGGGTGGGATATACCCGATGGAGTTCCCAAAGAAGAAGTTCCCTTAGTTGACTGACATCGTGACATCGACTTAGTCTTCACCGTCCGCGTGGATGCAAGAAACAAGTCGCTCGGAGAGCGCAGAAGGGCGGTTATCGTAATCGGAAAAAGCGAAAAGACGAAGGGGTGCAAGGTGTACATTCCTAAGGAAAAGTTGGTCTTAATGGCTCGGCACCTTCAAAACATTGAATCGTTGTCGACCGATCATCACCTTCACCCGGATCAAGATGGAATATGCCGCCAAGAGGAGTAGACGGTGGTCGACCGACTGAATGATCAGGGACAACGAAGCGACAAATGACGTACTCAGATTCATTGCAAGGTTCGCGAGCCTAGATGAGAAAGGGAACGTCCTGGTACAATATCGACCAACAGACAGCAAGTTAAAGAGGTATCAGGCAAAGAAACTTCTGGATCCAGAGATGTCGTCAATACTATTATAGCACAAAAATTAACGCACTATGGTGAAGCGGTCAAGAGCAAGCATCACCAAGAGTAATGGATTGCCATGACTAAAGAATTGGACGCGTCGAAGGCAAAAGATGTCTGGAGGGTCGTTGTAACACCCAAGGAAGCCCACGTACTACGCAACAAGTGGGTGTACAAGACCAATACGGATGCGAATGGGTACATAGAGAGATACAAGGCTCCTTTGGTCGTCTGCGGGAATGAACAAGTCTTCGGAGTCGACTACAACCTCACCTTCGCAGCGGTGATGGACTTGAGCACAGTGAAGATGATCCTGATGCTTTCAAGACGATGGAAGGTACTGGCTCGACACGCAGATGTACCAAACGCATACGTCAAAACCGAATAGGACTTTCATCTGGACATCTACATGAAGGTGCCTAAAGGGATGATCATGGACGAATAGGAGCTCAAGGGTCTGGGAACGAAGTCAACGAACGACTTGGCACTACTGCTGAAGAAGTCACTATATGGACTCAGGCAGGCTGGAAGACTCTGGAGCAAGCTACTCGATTCCAAGTTGCGACAGAGCGGTTTTCGACAATGCATGACGGACATGTGCTTGTACTTCAGGTATCAAGGCGAAACAGGCACGGTGGTACGGGTCTATGTTAACGATCTACTTGTCACTGGGACTGACCAAAGTGCGGTGGATAGCTTCTTCACTGAGATAAGATGCTTATCGATCAAGGATTTGGGTGTCGTGAACAAATTTTTGGGAATCCGCATTAAGCTGGATGAGCCGAAGTGATACATCCTGGACCAACAAGTGACTTTCGAGTTGCTGTTGAAGGAGTTGGGACTGGAATCGGCGAAGGAAGTGAGGACTCCGGTTGGAGACGAATGCAATCTTACAGATAAAGATGTTCAAAAATTTCTACCAACGAGAAGTGCCAAGGACGACCCAAGCGTGAAGTCTTTTCAGTCGATCGTGGGAAGCTTGCTATGGATTGCAAGGTGCACGCGGTCAGACATTTGTTTTGCGGTGCACAAGTCAACAAGACAGACGCACAAGCCGACATTTGAGGACTGGAAAACCGCAAAAAGGATCATGCGCTACTTAGAGATGTCGAAGGATTTGAAGCTATATCTGGGCGGCGATGGACCGGCATCCAAGGACATGCAAGTTAAGTGCTGGAAGGACGCAGAGTTCGCGGCAGACAAACTGGACAGTAAGTCTGTATCTGGTTTTTTTACCATGGATGGCTCTGTTATGATTTAGTTGTACAAGAAGCAATTCGGTGTGTTGCTCAGCACAATGGAGGCAGAGTTCATCGCGACATCTCAATCTGGACGCGAGCTGCTGAGGATGAAGGGACTGCTTGACGAGTTGAAGTTGAGCGTCGTCATGCCAATGCCGATGTGGATGGATAACCAAGCGGCTATTAAGCAGATCGATTCGGAGAAGAGTACGTCAAGCGCCAAGCTCGTGGACATCAGGTTCAAGTTTATCTGCTACTACGCGAAAGAAGGGATCGTAGTTTCAAGGTTTATCAAGTCCCAAGGCATGATGGCCGATGTCCAGACGAAGTCACTATTAGCACCAAATATGGAAGAACTACGCGTATTATTCAGATAGAAGACAACTCAGGATGACACCGGGGACACTTACTGTTAGAAATGCCTGTTTCGAAACGTCTTATCAGTCATTGTTATGTTACTGGTTCAACGGATGTAACATGTGACGGTGACACCTGATTGGTCGAGTCCACAAACATCTTGACAGATGGTGAGACGAGGCTACGAAGGTGACAGATGGTGCGACGAGGCAACGACGGTGACGGGTGTCGTGACAGGATGGTGATGGACGAGGTGGCAGGACAAGGTAGCGATGTGACCGTTGGAAGACATGGCGACGGCCTGCGAGATGAGAGGGAAGACGGACGCAATCATGTTATGGTAAAGTTGAAGTGCATACTATATTATGGTGTTAGCGAACGAAGAAAACACTTATATATTCAATTCCACTTCTACCTCTTCGCACACAAGTGCATCTGTTCTACACGCGAGCTTCCAACGCTTACATCGTACCTGGAGAGCCCACCCCAATATATTACATGGGTTCCGGACGAACGTGGCAGGCAACTTACGATCTCCAACAATGGCTTATCGCAATCAATTACTCTGGTAAGTACCATGGCGACCTGTGACCGACTCCTTCTCGCGCAAATGTCACGCCTGTACGCTTTCTGCACACCCAACGATGACACGAATCACCCAGATATGGACATGCACGTGTCGATGGACACCCCGTGCTCAGGCTCTAAAGAAAATTGCATCACGGTTGCGCTACACAGCTGGGATTATCAAGCGAGACAAACGACCACAAAGCCGGGAGCACGCACTTAAGCACCCAGTCTCGAAATGGTGCCTTGGCGCGATCTACGCCGCATCCGTGCCACATCACCGACTCAAGTGTAATCGTTCTTCACTCTGGAAATGGTCTACGAACGGCCTGTCGTGTCCATCCCCCAACTGCTCTTAAACGGCCTACGCTCGTGTTATACGTGTTTTCTGGGAGTGCCCCGTTGCCAAGCGACACTGGCGGTGCATTTGCGCGTTCTGGAAAGACTCGGTCGTGTCCGGGAGGCTGGGTTACCGTTCGATCTTTTCTTACTAGACCTTTCACATACTCCGGAACATGCGTGGGATCTCGCTCAAGCTTTACTAGAGGTCCGCGACAGGACACCGGAAGCTCGTGACGTCTGCCATGACGATTATACCAAACTCTGGCGCTTTGCAGTGTCGATCATACTTTACACTATATGGTTGGAACGGCTCAATCGGATTAAAGATCCTACAATGTCAGAGGTGAGCCGTCACGCGGTAGCCCAATCCAGGTTGCGTAGAGCTCTCTTATGTTTCCGCAATTCTACCTACCAACATGGGGTGGTAAATGAGAACACGTGCTGGCGAGAGTGCGCTCAGCATTGGCGGATAAGCTTTTGCAACACATTGAGCCTCCATTCCTGCTGCTGCGACTTGCTTTACCAACCTCTGCAACGGACCTGTTTTTGCTATTCTTCGACGGTTGCTCACAGGAAAACCCCGGCCCAGGAGGTTCAGGCTCCGTTATTGTGCGTGATCAACCACAGACACATGCCGCTACCTTTGTCTGGACGGCTAGTATCTCTTTTGAAGCGAAGACGACTACAAGCATTTCTGCCGCATATATTGGTTTTATTCATGGACTACGGCAGGCAAAACACAGCGAATTTCTACCGTTGCATGTGATTGGGGACATTATACTGGTAATCAACCATGTCCGGGGTAATCGCTCCCCTTAAAAGTCGCACCTCGCCGCACTGTACCGAAAAGCGCGAGCTCTTGCTGACGATGTCTCAGTCGCCAGCTGGGCTCACCCTATCCGAGAATATAATAGGATGGCTGACCATGCAGCGAGCATTGCGATGCATACCAATGCAACTCTTCAGGTTCACACACACACCCCCTATAGACGCACCTTTTCGGACATCACACGTCACCTCCAGCACGACGTCTACCACTGGCTCGAGACATCGGCCGAACTCGACAGCGGATTGACGCCCCGCAACAAGCAGACTGTCCGCGAGAGGGCATTGCCAGCACGACAAATGATGGCCAGGAGAATCGCTCTTCGCGCGGTGGCGCCCTCATTCACGATAGATAGCAATATACCTCACCTTCAACGACAACGATAGATGATAACACCTTCTAACCATGACGCTAGCATGCATTTGTCGAAGACGACGTACTAGTATTCGACCAGAATGCTGCTGGGCCAGATTGGCAGAGAACAACAAAGCACTCACATCTACAAGGATTTTGGAACACAATACCTTTTTGATGTTGCTCAATCCGTAGGCAAATTTGATTGTAATCAGGTCAAGGCTTCGCGCTGTAAGAGCGAATGGCCAACAGTTTGAGTCAGTAGACGACGTAACAAGCAAGACATCACAAAGAAGTGCGTGGTTCCAGAAAATGGCATGCTCACACAAATAATGTGCACGACGCACACGCTTGTGTCGTGATGGAGAATTACTCACCTTCTTGCCTGTTCCTGTTAAACACGTGACAAGAATCGAAACAAGGTGGTTTGAAGCGATCGACGAACACAACAGCAAGTCGAGCACCACGTATAATGTTTGATGCATTTTGCTGAAGCGCGATCGTTTGTTTTCATCGTGTTTGATCAAGAGATACTGACCAGAGGTCCATCATTATCGCACGTACAGAACAACACAAGCCCATTCTGGAATGTGTCATGCCATCGTCGTGGATCAAGAGGTACTGACCGAAGGTCCGTCATAGTCGTACATATAGAACAACACAAGCCCATTCGGGAACGTGTCAAGTTACTGAGCAAGTGACGAAACCGATCCGTCATGAATGTGCATACCGGCAGACCGTGCTTACGCGTTGCACGAAGTGCTGCCCACTGGCTGCACGCCCAACGCCTCGCACATCTTGATAAAGTACGCAATACGCTGCTGCTCGTTCAACTGGTTGGGGGCGTCCGGGCCACACTCGAGACCGCCGTTGATCGAGTCAGTGGATTGAGCGAAGCCATCCACACCCGCAACGAAATCATGAATGATCCGGCCGTATTTCTGCGGGGTCATCCAGAACCAAAGCGCAGTCATCCACGTCACCGTTGTGTCTTGTGCGACAATCTCCGGATTGTTCAGGAGGTCAACGCCGAGAGCTTTCCCTGCAATGTAGTAGTTGTAGTTCCACGCGAGCTGCATAGGGCCTCGCCCGTGATAGCGACGGTCGGGGCCGCACGGGTAAGTGCTGTTGTCACAGTATTGCCAAACTGAGTACGTGTCCCGGGCATACTCCTCTGCAGCCTTAAAGTTGTCACTCTCGTGGGCCGTTTGGGCCAAGAAAGCTGCCAGCTCGCGCTTGTCGTTCGCGTCGTCGCCGGTATTGGCAAACGCCGAGTACTTGTTGGTAGCGGTCACAAGACCATCGAAAGTGTAGAGCTCCAAGGCTTCCGGGAACATGGTGTGAAACCGGTCCTGGTCGAAGAAGCGAGCAAAATTGGAACTGTTTCGTGACGGGGACGTTGCAGTGGTGGCCTCGATAGGCGCTGCCCCGGTCGATTGCTGGACCGGGGTCTCGACCATCTCGCACGAGTCTGCGGCAGTCATGCCCAGTAGACCCATCGATGCGACAACCACGGGGAACATCATGATCGACTCGGTGGAACGGTGAAGTGTGCTGGTTCGGAGACAAAGTGGAAATGAGGTTGAGGGCGCGACACACATGTATCGATGCGGTGTAGCTCTATGACTTCAAACTGCTGTTTCACACCGCATCTGGCCACGCAAATCTTGATGAGAATCAGCTTGTGCGGCTCGTGGCTCCTCACACACGCTACAGTGGCCTCTCTCGTCTCTTCCAACGAATGACTATTCCACATCGATGCCACAAACAAGGTTCCGAGCGCGTTCCGAACGGACACGCGGCGCAAAGCCAGTCTTGTACACTGCCTTTGAGGCTGAGCCATCACCCATTCGAGCTCAGCCGGCCATCATGCTGTCTTCTATACCTTTGTATCGTTGTGTGCGTGCTCACGGAAGTTACACATACCTTGCAGGCGGGCATTTGCTGTCCACAATCACGAAAAGAACGTTCTTCTCCCATCTGGAGAGTGGCAGCACCATCGTGGAGGCAGCGACGATTGTCTCACTGCAGGACTTGTGGTGTGGACTGAAGCAAAGTCAAGCGAGAGTTTCGAGCGATGTCTCACCGACGAGGCTATCGGTTTAGTTGCGAGTCGAATCACTCGGTCCAGTGTTACTGTGGGCGGTGATAATGGCCGGAGCCTCGCAAGTCGGTTAGGACCTAAGCGATGTCGACGATCACAACATCGTACACGATCTTTTGGCTCGGCGCGGAGTCAGCAACAAGGCGCATCAACGCCTTCGTCTCGTGTGTGCCTACTGTTGTTGTATCGGGCACCGACAACGTTCAACATCTCTGACAGTTCGTCGGCAGAGGCTGCCCTCAATGCAAGTTCGTGGTCTTTCCTGCGCATCGGTGGTCTGCATCATGCGGCGGTATCGATTGACGTCGCGGCGGGTATAAACATAGTCCGTGACATGTGCCTTTGCGTGCCGGACGTCTGAGAGCCTGTGATTCCCTTGCAATCGGGTAAAAGTGAGCCGCGCCGCGCACTCGCCAGATGGCTTCCGATGAAGTTATTGCAAGCGAAGCGAGTGGACGATCCACGAGCGGGAATAAAAATTCCATGAGCTGCTGACACGACGTCAGCATCGCTACCACTCTATGCAGTGTCCACTACTCCGTCACACGTGCGCAGATTCGAGAGTAGGGCAATTCCGGCTGACGTTTATATCGGGCTGCAATCGGTCGAACTGTATTCCGCAGCATATCACTGACGTCGTCGTCGTCGTCAATCGTGCGACTTCTGACGCCTTGCTACAATGGTGTACGCTCCACCAAATTGGTGTACTCAACACCATTCACCAAAGCACCACCACAGCAAATCTCCGACCTCGCTGGGCACCGCTGCTCGGGGCCTACCGCTTGGTCTTCTCCGCCACGTCCATCGTCACCCAGTGAGTGGTCGATCGCCCGTCTCAGTGTGTGTGGTTGTCGTCTTGCAGGACTCGGTCTCGCCGTCGCTACCCGCCTCTCCTTCGTCCTGCTTCTTCCTGGCGGAAGAGACGCGCTTCCCTCTTTATGGCCTCACTGTCTACGCACTCTCCACCACCGTCGCTCGCCCACAAGAAGCCCAAGCTCAGCCATCGAGACGTCGCACCAGGTTCTTCCTCGTCCCCGTCGTCTTCCCCCGACGCCCTCACAGCATCCACATCGTCCTTTAAGATCAACTCGCCGTCCTCTCTTTCGTCGGCTGCGTCCTACGCGATGACGGCGAATCCTCTGCACTCGGTGCCCCGCGACGAGCGCCATTGGGATCTACTGCGGCTTCTGACGCACGAAACCGCCTTTCCCAACGAGACATCTGCTGTCGCACTGGGCGAGTTCGATCCGAACGCTGGAGAAGAGACGCTGAGCTTTTTGCAGCACGAATGTCGCGTGCTGATTATAGGCGCGGGTGGGTTGGGATGTGAGCTCTTGAAAAATGTGGTGCTGTCTGGGTTTTCGACAGTGGACATTATTGACATGGACACGATTGACGTGTCGAACTTGAACCGGCAGTTCCTCTTTCGAGCGACTGACGTGGGAAAGAGCAAAGCAGAGTGTGCCGCGGCTTTTGTGCGAGACCGCGTTGCGTGCCGCGAAACGGAAGCCTCCGTGACTATCACGCCTCATTTTAAGAAGGTGCAGGACATGGACGTGGATTTCTACCGGCAGTTCCACGTCATCCTTTCGGGACTCGATAATATCGAAGCGCGTCGGTATTTGAACTCTCTCGTTGTGTCGTTGGCTGAAGTAAACGAGGATGGAGAAGTGGATCCTTCCACTATCATTCCGTTGATTGACGGGGGCACGGAAGGTTTGCGTGGCCAGGCTCGAGTGATCATCCCTCGGATCACGAGCTGCTTTGAGTGTTCGCTCGAGACGTTCCCGCCGCAAAAGAGCTTCCCGATGTGCACCATTGCAGAGACACCGAGACAACCGGCACACTGCATCGCCTATGCCTTCATTGTGCTCTGGCCGCGAGAGTTTCCCGAGAGGAAGCTTGACAAGGACTTGCCAGCACACATGCAGTGGGTCTTTCAAGCTGCAAAGGACCGAGCGGAGCAATTTGGAATTACAGGTGTCACATACAGTTTGACGTTGGGAGTGGTGAAGAACATCATTCCAGCAGTAGCGTCAACAAACGCAGTAGTGGCGGCCATGTGTGCAAGCGAGGCTCTTAAGGCTATGAGCTATTGCAGTCGCTTGATGAACAATTACCACATGCACATGGGTGCTACGGGATGCTATTCGCACACGTTTCAGTACGACCGAAGAGAGGATTGTGTCGTCTGCTCCTCGCAGCAGAAGACACTGCACGTGGACCCGGATTCAATGACGTTACAGAAACTGATTGACCACCTTTGTGGTGACGATTTCCGGCTGTTAAAGCCCTCGATCAGCTCAGGCAGTGCCAACCTGTTTATGCAGGGTCCACCATCTCTTCGTGCTGCTACAAGCCCTAATCTAGACAAGGTGCTGCGGGAGCTTGTGAAGGACGGTGAAAGTTTGACGGTCACCGATGCCGTTTTTGTGGGTGATATGGCGCTATCGTTGCAGATTGTCTTTGAATCGGCGAAGGATGTGGGGGCCTCGCACATGGGAGACTAAGCCGAGTCTGATTTATGTACGATGTTTTGGAATATGTCATGGGTACACGCACGCACGCACGCATTGTATACTAGACTGCCGCATCTGTCGGACACAAACAAACGATCCGCACTAGTTCCAAACTGTTGTGCACTTCTTGCCGCCTACTCCGCCAACGTTACAGAATGACATGTGCTCGATCGCCCGCCTAGCGACATAATCGCGGAAGACTTGTCGTTTGAGTCCCGCGAGCCCAAACAAGTGAGTGCTAGTGAGAAGCGTCGAGATACGTTGTGATGCTTTTGGAGACTTTTGGTGCACCTACGCGTCAACCTCGTCCCCAGTCTGCAATGAAACTCCATATGCGCATACTTTCGGGACGGGCTAATCACGAGGTCTGACATTCCATGACGCGTCTTATGTCATTGTTTTAGCTGTATGGAAATCGCAACTCTCTAAGCGTAAGTACCATGTCATGCTTCTCTCACTCATGGGGGGCTACATGGTAGGAGCTCGAATAAGGGTTGGATCAAACTTCCTGGGATGCCAAAGCGCGATGGAATGAATTCCCAAGCTACCGACTTTTCCCTATCTTTTTCGTATGAAGCGACACATAAAGTAGGACGAAACGCACCTAGAGAACTTGCAGACCCGGCCACATTTGCGAAGAGATATGGTCGAATACATCACGACGGTCGCTAACTGATCTCGCACTTCGGACTGTGCGTTGCAGTGAGGTCAGATGAACCCTACAGACAACCGGGTTGTTCGGAAGACAAATGACCGCAAGACTTTGATTGCTTCATCATCCCGTAACGATGCATCTCGCCAATAACACTAGTGTAGGTTGTTCTTGAATTCGCGTACGCGGATGCAGTGGTGCCAGTAACAGCCGATCCTGCGATTGAAGCTCAGTTGACGAGACGTTCCACAACAAGACCAAGTCGTCGGGACTTGACAAGGCCCGAGATGGGAAGACAAGAAAGGTGAAACACAGCCGTGATGTAACGCGATGGTGTTTCGTCACAATTTGCCCAGCTGCACAGGTGTTGACAGTGTAATGAAACTTATTTCCCCCAGCTGCATTGGTGCATTGTAGAGAATGCTTGTCTTGTAAGCGTAAATCTAGTCGCAGATGCGCCGAGCGTGTTTTTCTGTGCACTTCATTGCATCTTCGCGGTAAGCACCTTACCCCGCATGCGCATGCCGCAGTCAATGCGACACGGGACGCTTGATCTCCCTGCGTACAGGTTCTCATCTATCTCGATAGCAGTGGTTGTTGTCTCAGTCGCGTAGCGACATATCGTAGCTGATGGTTTGCTTTCCCGTATTGCAAAGGCCGTTTCGCGCGGAAATTGAGCTGCACGCGTTGCATCTGCAAGGAGCTCACTATTAGCTCTTACGTGCCTTAAGACGCGCGGATATGCAAACACGTGCAGTCTTGTGCAACATTTCAGATATGGCTCGTGGACAACTTTGCTCATCCTGTCAACGCAATGGACTACACCACCTGGAGGCCCTATTTCCGGCTCTGACCGCAACGCTCGGCGACAGTTGTCAATGGACAGCCGTCCAATCGTATCGACTTCTTGTGCAGTTCTTCTGCCTCTACATGTACCTGCCGCCACTTTGGCTTGCCTTTGGATGCGTCTCCGCTTCTCAAAGAGCTGCATCGATCGACTAACGAGCATCGCTCTCGACAACTGTACGTGCTGCTTGTCTTGACTACTCAGCGAGCGTTTGTGAGATCGTGGCGCACGCCGCGCAACGAGATGGGTCATCGACGCTCGAGTGATGGGCACAGCCAGCACTCCCACATTCAGTCGGCCGCCTCTTAGCAGCTCACGCAGTGCCAAAAGACCAGTGTAGGTTGCCGTCCTGAGGCGGCGCATGGCAAGCGACCATCACTCCTTGCAGTAGGATTTCGACTTTTCCGAAAGGAGAAACCCCAAAGTCAGGCTTTGCAGGGGCTCAGTGTATCGCTTGAGCGCCTCTTTTCACAAATTTAGAGTGCGCGCAACCAGCGCGTCAAAGGAAACTTAGAGCTGGGGGAGAGCAACATGGCAGTTGACGATGCAACGGCAACGGAAACAGAGAGAGACGAGACGCCGACTGCACAGCAGCAGCAGCAGCAGTCGATGGACGTGAGCGAGGAGGCCAGCGCGCTCCCGTCGGAACCGGCGTCCCCCGCTGTCTCCACGACGTCCGTCTTGCCTGCGCCCGTCTCAACGCCCGTCTCAACGCCCGTCAAGGCCGCGCCAGTGAAGCGACTCATGATCACGAAAATGCGCCTCGAGAACTTCAAGTCGTACGCTGGGAAAGTCGAGATCGGACCGTTCCACAAATGCTTCAGCGCGGTCGTGGGTCCCAATGGCAGCGGCAAGTCCAACGTCATTGACGCGCTGCTGTTTGTCTTTGGCAAACGCGCGTCGAAACTGCGTCTCAAAAAGGTCTCGGAGCTCGTGCACCGCTCGGCGGGTTTCCGAGACTTGGACATGGCTACAGTTTCGGTCTTTTTCCAGGAGATTGTCGACACGGAAGACGGCGACGCTGCTGCTGCTGCTACTGCTACTGCTACTGCTACTTCAGCGATTGACAATGAAGCCAACTATACGGTCGTGCCGCATTCCGAGTTCAGTGTCACGCGCACCGCTACGAAGAGCAACGTGAGCAAGTACTTTATCAACGACCGACCCAGCAACTTCACGCGCGTGACGGAGCTGCTGCAGGACAAGGGGATCGACCTGGACAACAACCGGTTCCTGATCTTGCAGGGAGAAGTGGAGCAGATTGCCATGATGAAGAGCAAGGGCGCAGACGGCTCGAACGAAGACGGGCTGCTCGAGTACCTGGAAGACATTATTGGCTCCAACGTGTACGTGGAACCCACGGAGCGAGTGTGGGACGAAGTCGAGCACTGCAACGAAGTGCGAGGCGACAAAGTGAACCGTGTCAAGCTCGTGGAGAAGGAGAAGGCGCACTTGGAGGGACCTCGCGCGGAGGCGCTAGAGTACCTTTGCAAGGAGAAGGAAGTGTACATGAAGACGAACATTTTGTACCAATTGTGGATTCAAGAGGCGTCGAATAATCGTGAGCTGTGTGAGGCCAAGCGGGATGAGCTGCAGGCCAAGTATAAAGCGGAGATGGCACGCATGGCGAAGAACCGCGAAGAGTTAGAGGCTGTGGAAGCTGTGTACCAGCGCGTGAAGAGCGAGCACGACGACGTTGCCAAGCAGCTAGATGAGACGAAGGCCGAGTACGCAGACTTTGAAAAGCAAGACGTGAAGCTGCGGGAAGAGCTAAAGTACGCGAAAGAGCGGCAGAAAGAGCTGAATTCAACGCAAAAGAAGGAAACGAAAAAGCAAAAGAGTATTAAAGAAAAGGTACAGGAGAATGAGGAGCTGGTGCCGCAGTTGGAGAAAGAGGTAGAAAAGTTACAAGCTAAGCTCACGAAGCAGGAGCAGGTGCTGGAACGTATTTTGGAGGACCACAAGGAAGAGACGACTAAGCTACGTAGTATCATGGAAACCATCCAGCAGGACATGGAACCGTGCCAGACCGAACTGAATGCTTTGCGGTCAGTGATCGATACAACTGAGACGGAGATTCAGCTCGTAGAAGAGCCTGTGACCAACGCCAAGAAGGCGCTCGACGCAAATGCTTGTGGTATCATCGAGTCTGAGGCAAACTTGCGTGGACTTGAACAAGACCAGGCCGAGAAACGCGAGAAACTCGTAAAGATGAAGGACCGCATCGTCGTTGCCGAGCGAGAATTGGATGGCGTCAAGCGCAGAGAAAGCACTGTTGCAGAGAAGTACCGCGAAGCTCGTACAAAAGCTGAAGAGGCTTCGGGTGCGGTCCAATCGCATGCGACTAGAAACCGCATGCTGCGGGAATTGCTTGATGCATCCAAGCCGGGGATGCCCCTGGAAAATGCTGGGCTGTTCGGTCGCCTGGGTGACCTCGGCGCGATTGATGGCAAATACGACGTCGCCATATCGACTGCTTGCGGCGCGTTGAATAACTTGGTTGTCGAGACGACTTCGGGAGCACAAGCGTGCGTGGCATACTTGCGCAAACATAATTTGGGTCGCACTACATTCCTGATTCTGGAGCAACTCGGTTATCTTCGGTCGAAATATGCCCAGCACTTCCGTGGTGTGAACACTCCTTCTGGACAAATAGCGCCCCGTTTATTTGATCTAGTGAAGGTGAATGATGACAAGTACCTGCCTGCATTTTACTACGCTCTGCGTGACACACTGGTGTCTAAGAACTTGGACGAGGCTTCGGCCATTGCTTTTCAAGGACGCCAATGCAAATACCGCGTGGTGACTCTAGACGGACAGCTGGTCGAGATGTCCGGTGCAATGTCTGGCGGGGGTAAACGAGCCCGTAGCGGTGGCATGTCAAGTACGCTCTCGAGCGGTCTGAGCGAAGGTGAGATTCGGGCTTTGCAAGAGCAGGCGTCGTCTTTGCGGAACGAGTTGGAACAAATCCGCGACGAAAAAGATTCGCTTGAGAAAGAGCTACAGCAACTCAATCGCCAAATCGAGCAGTATGAGAACGACATGCCCAAGATCGAATTGGACATAAAAGCAACCAAGACACGACTGAAGGATTACACGAAGAACAAAAGTAGTCTGGAAAAGCAAACGACGCTTTCTGCTGATGCGAAAAAGCAAGTTGAGCGGCTGAAGAAGCAAAAGACCACGAAGGATGCTGAGTACAAAACCGTGAAAATAAAAGTGGATAAAATGGCTGCTGAACTGGTCAAGATAAAGGACCAGATTCTCGATGTGGGCGGCGAAAAGCTGCGCAAGGAACAGGATGTGGCAAAAAAGATTACGAAGCAAATATCGGAGAAAACGAAACAAATGACAAAAATCCGAGTTGACTTCAAGAGCAGCCAAAAAAGCACTGAGAAGAACGAGCAGGTACTCAAGAAGATAAAGGAAGATTTGGAAGCAGTGGGGAACAAAATTGACACCATCCGCGAGCATATTACTGCCATGGAAGAGAAAGCTTTGACTGTTCTTCAGAAGTGCGAGGGGATCCAAGAGCAGGTCACTGCGAAGGAGAAAATCCTCCGCAAAGAAGAGTCCAAGTACCGAAAGCTGAAGAAGGAGCACGACGGGATGGCAAGCACAGAAGTGGACTTGTCCAACAGCCTAGAAGACTGCGAGAAAATGCTGGACGAAAACACCAAGAAGGAAGCATACTGGAAGACGAAACTCACGTCTCTTCACGCAGCGTTTGTCACCGAACAAGAACAAAATGCGGGTGTTTTCGAGGATGATGCAGACTTTCCCGCTCGGAAGCGTCAAAAAGGAGGCAAGGCTGCAGATCGAGAGGATGCAATGGAGGAGAAAATGGAGAACGAGGATGAGGACAAGGACAGTGGTGACGAGGAAGATGTTTACATGGACGTGACATTGGAAGAGCTTCCGACGCTGGAGGCTGCTGCACTATCTCGATATAGTAAAGAGGAAATGAAGTATGAGATCTCCGTGCTGGAGCAGCAGCGCGACGAGCTCAAGGCGAACGTAAACATGGGTGCATTGACAGAGTACAAACAAAAAAAAGAGGAATGCAAGGCTCGCATTATCGAGTTAGAGGAAGCTACGAAGCTACGTGACGCAAAGCGCCACGAGTACGACGAGCTGCGACGCAAGCGACTGGAGGAGTTCATGACGGGTTTCCGCATCATTACGCTAAAACTGAAGGAGATGTATCAGATGATCACACTTGGTGGTGATGCGGAGCTAGAGCTTGTGGATTCACTGGATCCGTTCTCCGAAGGTGTGGTGTTCAGCGTGAGGCCTTCGAAGAAGAGCTGGAAAAACATTTCGAACTTATCGGGCGGAGAGAAGACTCTTGCCTCACTGGCGCTTGTGTTCGCGCTGCACCATTACAAACCAACGCCATTGTATGTGATGGACGAGATCGATGCAGCACTGGACTTTAAAAACGTGTCGATTGTGGGCAACTACATCAAGCAGCGTACACGCAACGCCCAATTCATCATCATATCTTTGCGCAACAACATGTTTGAGCTCGCAGACCGTCTTGTGGGCATCTACAAGACGAACGACGCTACGAAGAGCGTGACAATTAATCCAAAGATTTACGAGCAAGGTACCGCCATGGCCTCGGCTGGGATGATGACGCCGACGGCGGTGTATCCAAAATCGCCCGGCCTGAATAGTCCCACGAGTGATCCGCGTCGATCCGTCAAAAAGGCTCGGCGATCTAGCCAACAATCGGTGGCATCCCCCGCAGTGCAGCGAGGTGCTTCAGCGATGAGCACACCATTGCAGAACCGAACCAACACGTCGTAGGTAAGCACACGTTCTTCTTGCGCTCGTTGCCGTAAAAGCGTTGTGTTATGAATGGCTCCCATCAAGATAGCGATATGCTTTGCGCAGTCAATGACGAATGCAGGTTGTTGATCACACTTTGTCACGACGAGCATTCGCGACACCGGTAGATTAGTGTATCGCCACACTCAATTTGGTGTCCCACAAACCTGCAATTGACGGAAGGCCGTTGCGCTCGAGAGGCTTGACATACTACAGTACACTCACGCCAAAAAGTGGACAAGCGACATTGTGTTGTATCGGAAAAGAATTGATTGCAAAGCCTCCTGGTACTCAATCGACGAAGATTATGGGGAAGAAGCTTGCACGCCATCATGCGAAAGATCGACATCAAAGTGAGTGTTCGCGAGACGATCATAGCTACGAAACAGTATCTACAGAGTTTGCTTTCACTTTGTGAATGCATTGTCGAGGTCCAGAATGCTTCGTCCACATCGCTGCATCGTGTGAAGCGAACGCTGCGTAAGGATCTGCTCCATTTTGTACGACTAAATGACAAGGCGCTTTTGCTCGTACAATTTGACGAGACCGCTCACAAAAATTGCAATGACAAATTCGCGTGCAATATCGCATCGAAAGTCGTGTTCGATCTCGTCCTGATAGTTACAGAAGATCAATTTGACGACATTTTAGTCTGGCGATCCTGTACGTGCCACGCTTTTGAGCTTGCCCTTTTGTATCGTGCTGTGTGCTCGAGAGTACTGAGAAAGGATCGTGAACGCCGTAAGGCATCCAAAGTCAGAACAGAAGGCAGACGAGTGCTTGGCTGCCGGTCTGCCAATGCGAACTGAGATCGACAACAACGCGTTACTGACGCATGACCATAGAAAAGATTGCAGCAGCATACCAGATACTGTAGTATACAGCGACGCATGGTATGCAGCATCGGCCGCATCACGAGAGCACCGGTCGTATGTGCCCGTTGCATAGTCCGCAATGCAAAAGTCGGTAGGCATGGAAGTAGAAGACACTGCCTCTGCAAGTGCAGTGGCGTGAAGACTGCACATTTCGTCTGACTAAGTCAGAATATAGACGATGAGCATAGCCACGTCGTTGTGGGAGGCATCGCGCCGCTGTTGCCTGAATGGTAAGACGGAGTTGAATCGTAGGATCGATGACGGAAAGACAGGTTTGGTCGGTTTGTCAAGTGAATGCCAAGTATGTTGCACACAAGTCTTCTCTGCAAATTCAGTTCTGGGTCACTTACTTGACTATGGATGGCAACAGCATTTAGCGCTTACGAGCATCATGCGAATCGTTTGCGCCCAGTTGTCCATGCAGAATCCGTTTCTGTCACTTCGCTACAGTGCACGATCACTCCATTCCTCATTCAACCTCATTGCCCAAGGACAGTGATCCATCCACACACACCAAATGGCATCGTCGATCGTCATTTCGAGTCCCAATTACCCGCAGATGGACAAGTCGCCTTCTCGAGTATACCTGCCATTGACTTCTCCAGCTACAAGTGCAATCCCTGCGGGTAAACGCAACTGCAACGACATCTTCTGTCTGATCCCATTTCTAGCGGTCGTCTTAATCACGATCGCGTTCGGAGCCAACTACGGCAGTGAGCTGGTTCAAGCAACGCAACTAAAAGCGCTGTCCGAGGCGTCGGGTGTGAAGCTCATGCTGCACATCATCGGGTTATCGTCTCTCGCAGGCGCCGGCATGTCGATCGCCTGGATCGCTACGATGGTTCTGCTCGCCGACGTGCTCATTTGGATCGCTTTTATCGCCGTCACCGTGCTCAACATTGTGGCCGCTATTCTGCTCATCGAAAAGGCCTCCGACAGCGGCTCGGGGTGGTACTATTTATCAGCCGCGGTCTTTGGCCTCGTTGCACTGCTCACGATGCTGTACATGTGCTACATCCACAAGCGGATCAAGTTTGCTGCAGCGCACCTGAAAGTAGCCGGCCATGCGATCTTCCGACTACCCACGATAATCCTCGTGGCTCTCGTGATGGTCGGCGTGCAGATCAGCTGGACCGTTGTATGGGTAGTCAGCAGTCTTGGCATCATATTCCACTACGGCTTCCTCGGCCTCGACGCCCTCTCGTGCGAGACAGGAACGTGCGAGACCAAGTACCACCCCGCTGCTATCTTCGCTGTGCTGTGCGTCATGCTGCTCGCCTACTTCTGGGTCACGTTCGTGCTGCGCAATGTCATTGGCGTCACGACCGCAGGCACTGTAGCCGCGTGGAAAAGCGCGCCCACCGCGCCGTGCAGCACGATCGGGGCATGGGCGCGTGCACTGACGCTGAACCTCGGCAGCATCTGCCTGGGCTCGCTCATTGTAGCGGTCCTCGAAACGGTCGTATGGCTCCTGCAGATCGCAGCGTGGCTTGTCGGTCGCAGCGGCACCTCCTGCTGCTGCTTTGTGTGCCTCTTTGCGTGGCTTTCGCGCATCGTCTCGCGCATCGAGCGCTGGATCGAGTGCTTCAACCGCTTTGCCTTCGCGTACGTTGGCTGCTACAGCTACAGCTTCGTGCGGGCGAGTCGCCGCGTGTTGAAGCTGTTTGCGGCCAGGGGCTGGAGTGCGATCGTCAACGACCACCTCATTGGCAATCTATGCTGGCTGACCCATATCGTCACTGGGGCGTTCACGGCCTACGTGGGCATCCGACTTGTCCACGAGACGCACTCGGACGCGCGACTGGCCGTGTTCCGCCACCCTCAAGTCGTCGCAGGCTCCTTCTGCTTCGTCGCTGGCTACAGCATCAACACGTTGGTCCTGGCCGTGCTCAACAGCGCCGTCACGACGGTCTTTGTCCTGTGGGCCGAAGATCCACACGGATGGCAGCGCACGCGACCCTATCAGTACCGTACGCTGCACACGACGTGGCTCCAGATCTACCCGACCGAGTACCGAACTGCATCACAAACATGGCACCTCGCGGATGAAGAAAAGTAGTAGTAGTAGCAGAAGTAGTAGTAGTAGTAGTAGCAAAAGTAGTCGTAGTAGTGTGAGTAGTCGTAGTACTGGTGGTGGTAGTAGTAGTAGTCGAAGTGGTAGTAGTCGAAGTTGTAGTAGTGTTCGTCCGATTCGAGAGAGTCGTCTAGTGCCGAGTGTCGCCACGTTACGTCCAGTTGACAAGTCGGTCCTTGCGTGTCGGAACCACTAATTGATTGCATAGAGTAAGTATCTAATTTGTGGTGTTTGTCAGTCAGTCAGCTGTGTGTGTGTGGTCGCCTAACTGCCGTCTTTTGCCGCCCAGTCATGAGCGGCGACGAGCCGAAGACGCGGCCAATGGTCGTCAAGAACACGTTCATGATCATGGGCTACGGCGTCGAGTTTCCACGTGGCAAGAGGCCGTTTCCGGCGCAACTTGCGGTCATGAGCAAAGTGCTGACAGCGCTCAAGACGGAGCAACACGCGCTGCTCGAGTCGCCTACGGGCAGCGGCAAGACGCTGGCGCTGCTGTGCTCGTGCCTGACGTTCCAGAAACAGGACGTGCGAGAGCAAGTGGCGGCTGCGAAGAGAGAGCAGACGAGCGTCAAGTTTCGAGAGCAGGAGGCCAAGAAACAGACGCAAGAGGCGCAGTTGCGGGTGCTGGAAGCGCAGATGCAGGTGATGGAGGCCAAGCAGCAGGTGGAACAGGCGAGAAGGCAGCGACAAGGGAGCGACGAGGACTGGACCCAATCAACTGTCGAGCTGACTCACGTGGGAGCGACGCAAGATACGCTGAAGGAAGACGCAGGTGATGCTGCTGATGGTGATGATGATGATGTCGCAGGTACGCAGGTTACTTTAAAGGAAGAAGATGAGGACAATGACGACGTAGCAGCTACGCAGCCTAGCCGCAACGAAGGGTGGATGCGCACTCGGAAACGAGAGTCGGGGGCGGACTCGATTCCCATCACCAAGAAGAATCGGGTGCTGCCCACTTCGTTTGCTGCTGCTGCAGCAGCGGAAGAAGCCGATATGGTAGAGCAAGTACCCGACGGCGGAGCCAGTACTGGTAATGCAAAACGGAAGCAAGTAATGCCACTGCGGATCTACTTTTGCTCACGAACACATTCGCAACTGGCGCAAGTGGTAAACGAGCTAAAGGGCTGCCCCGTGTCGTATTTGGACATGCCCGGAGAATCTGAAACTTACTCGAAGCAGCTGCAGACGTGTGTGCTGGGCTCGAAACGCAACATGTGCATCAATCGCAACGTGAATAAAGATCCGGCGCAGGTTGACGAAAAGTGTCGACTGGCCCTCGAAGGCTCGTCATGCTCGTACTTCAAAAAACGCAAGAAAGTAAACGACATGCGGCGAAGTGTGTCACCCGTCTGGGATATCGAGGACCTTGTCAAGCTGGCACAGAAGCATCGTGAGTGCGCATACTTTCATTCACGCGAGGCGCTCGAGCAGGCTAATATCGTGTTCGCGCCCTACAATTATTTGCTGGACCCGTCGATCCGTGAGGCCGTGGGAATCAAACTCAAGAGGTCCATTATCGTGCTGGATGAGGCACACAACGTAGAAGATACATGCCGATCTAGCGCGAGTACAGAGGTGACGGCAGACGTTTTAGCCGCATCAATCAAGGCGTTTTCGATCGTGATCAAGCACGGTAATCGACCACAGTCGTACAACGCCTTGCTCAAGGTGCTAAATGGCATTAATCGCTGGTTACAAAGTGTGGACGCGAATGCCAACGCTATTCTTCAGCCTTCGGGTTTTGAAGAGAGGAGCAAGGTCTGGGACGGTGCCGACGCGCTAGCCATGCTTGCAGAATATTCCGGGCTTACGAAAGGCAGTTTTGCTGGGTTAAAAGTAGACGTGCAGGAAGTACGCGAGTATGAGAATGAATTGGCTAACAGCGCGGAATCCAGTCAGCAACCTGAAACAAAAGCGTCTCGGGATGTTGCGGCAAACCCGACAGGTGCTTCTGTTCTTTTGGGGGCTCTGGCACTCGCCACAATACAGAGCATCATAAACGTGGTGGACTATATGTTCCGCGACAGCCTCAAGTACATTGACGACTTCAAGCTAGTGGTGATCAAATCCAAGTCAACGTGGCAAGAGAACGCGAGCTTCCGATCTCCTACCAAAATAAAAGGTGACGAGTGGGAGATAAAATTATGCATCTGGTGCCTGAATGCGGCCGTTGCGTTCTCGGACATTGCGACCCAAGCGCGCAGTGTCATCCTTACGTCTGGTACACTGAGTCCCATGGATTCGTTTGTTGGCGAGTTGGGCGTCGACTTCCCTATTCGCCTTGAGGCGAACCACGTCGTGAATATGCGCAAGCAGGTTTTCGTCGGAACTGTAATGCACGGTCCTGGCAATGTCGACCTTCAGTCGACGTACGACAATCAGCAGAATCCCAGATATCAAGACTCTATGGGTCAGCTGCTGCTGCAGTACTCACAAGCGATTCCGGGCGGTATTCTCATGTTCCTTCCGTCGTATTCGCTGCTTCACAAACTTGTATCGCGTTGGAAGAAAACCAAGCTATGGGGTGAAATCGAGCATTTCAAGACTGTCTACTCCGAGCCGCGCAACGCCGGCAAGAGTTTCGATTCTTTGTTGGAAGATTACAAGAATACGATCACGAAATTCTCCGAGGCAGTAGCTGCGGGCGCTGATGGCAAAGAAGCACTGACGAAGAGCACAGGTGCCATCTTTTTGGCGGTCTATCGCGGGAAGGTGAGTGAGGGTATTGATTTCTCGAATGACAATGCGCGGGCCGTCCTATGCGTAGGCATCCCTTTTCCCAGTGTCAAGGAGCTGCAAATATTGATGAAGCGCCGGTACCAAGATGAGAAAAGTCTCACAAACGTGAATCTCGTCAATGGCCATACTTGGTATCAGTTGCAAGCGTTCCGTGCGTTGAATCAAGCACTCGGACGATGCATTCGACATCGTCAGGATTATGGTGCCATTATGTTACTCGATTCCAGGCATCGGTTCAATAAGCACGTGAAGTCGCTTTCAAAGTGGATGCGACCGTACATTCGGGAGTTTGAGCACTCACAGATGTGCGTCCCGATGTTCAGTGAGTTCTTCCAGAGAAACTACATCGAGCTGCCACATAGTTTACCTTCGCCCTCGACGGAAGCGTCGACAATGTCCGAGAGGGAGGCGAAAACAGCACCACTCATTCTCGAGTACGAGGCAGACAAGACTAGCCGCAAAAACAGCACCAAAAGAAGCAGTCGGACGGCTACACCTCCAGTACCGTCGACTATGGCAACCGTAAACGATGTCATGGCAAAGCAGAGACAAGAGTCAGATGCGAAGAACAGTGTGTTTTCCATTTTCCGGTCGCAAGCGTCTGGAAAGTCAGAGTAGACAAAGGGTACGATCTCGATGATCGACATGATATCCGACTTGCGTTTGACGGGCAAACCACAATCGGCACGACCGACAAGATCTCCAGATGGATATGGTGGAAATCGATGGCAAGTCTACGCTTACAATTTCGACTCATTGGAAGCTGTTTCGCGCTTCTACTGGTATCGATCATTCGTAGATCGCATGAAGCTGACTGCAGTTCTCTACACCTCGTTCAATCCAATCAGCTTTATGTGGAATCACGGGTCGCAGATCCACTCCTGACATTATCCACACTAGTCGGAAGAGTCAAGAAAGAGTGATCAGGCTGGGGAGACAAACTGAGTTGGATTGCACTCCATGTGTCGTGTACGAAGTACACATTGCCCGCATCGGTTGCCGGTAATACGTTGTTAAACTACAGGTCCATCGGTGTTTCCTTCATTTGAGCTCTGGCTCAACCGATCATTCGGACATCACACATGTAGTCAGGCTTTGCAAGCACAATTACTCCTCTCATGAAGTGCCTGAGCACGTTGAAGGCGCTCGTTGTATATCCGCTAGCGATGCGATCTCGACCGTTGTCGCCGTAGCCATTTCATGTTCGTCAAAGCTAGTGATCACTGGTATGAAAGAGTCGGAGAACACTAGAACTGCTGATGCAATCGGACTGACAGTACTAAGTGCCGTGCGCAAACGTACACAGAACTGTAACAAACTACGTCACTGGTATTGCTCACCTGTACCGGGTAAGCATATTGCCTTTAGAAGTTGTGCATGATCAACTGGATGTATCTGAGAACGTATCGGGATCGAGCGGCTGGCTGTCAGCCCATCTTTGCATGAGAAAACGATCATCGACGTGCCGACTCTCGTACGTGGATGCATATCGAAAGATTGCGAGTTAGTCTTCGCGCGTGCCGACACCATCGAGCAAGAGGCATTAGTCTATGGTCAGCAATAGCAAGGACACCATTGGCTTGCAGCTAGTGTGTAACTGTCAACTTAGCACATAACATAGCGTCTCGAATGTCGCTGGGCTTTTCCTTCTCTTTGACGTGTAAGACTTCTTGCAGAGTTACGAGAAAGACTGATACGCGGAACGATCGCATGACCCGAGATGAGACTCTCGTGATACATCCGACGCACTGAGTCGATGCATTGGTCATCACATTCCAGCTAGAATCACCAGGAGCAAAGTAGGACAGGGATGTAATCTATAGCCGAATAAACAGTAAAACTTGTCAGGCGGCATGCACGCCAGCACATTCGTTGCAACTTAGAATCGCGGCTTCTCCTTGTGGATTCCGAGACAAGCGCGCCTCGAGCCCATGCATGCGGTAGAACGACCTCCTTCACACCAGCTTCGCTACGCCGGTACGGTTCTCTGTCTTGGGTGTCAATCAGGAATGCTCGTGTCGTGTATATCTCGACACGGACCAAAAGTGACACACGGCCCAACCGCTTTGCTTGTATCATCGCTCTCCAAATCGAGTGAGCCACAACGGCCGAAGAAGACCACGACGCAATGAAGATACACACTGCCTGTGCACGTGACAGTAGCCGCCGTTCGAGAAGACCTGTGACTCATTGAAAGGTACTACGACGGTGGCCGGCAAGGCAGTTTGTGGTCAATGCATTACATGTCCAGAAACCAAATCCGGTAGACTCATCGTGTGAAACAAGCCATACTATTATGAGAAGTCAGTGTATCTCCCCTTCGTATCGAGAGAGTCGACCCACCGAAACATTTCCCGCAGACCGACCGTAAGAACTCGCTGCTGGTTCAGACTTGTAGCAGCGAAGTCCATGATACGGTACGTTATGTTTCTCGTAAACGAGGAAACACGTTGCTGGTCGTGCTTTGTGGAGAGCAGCTTTCCCTAATTGTCATCGTCGACCATAGTTGCTGAGGGCCATACACATTCTCTACACCAGACAAATGTTGATCCCTAGGTCCCTTGTGCTGATGGCGTAACATCTAGACGTGGAGCAAGACATGTTTATTTTGTTGAGAGTTTACAGGTATGTACATACCCTCGTTTCATTGTAGGTGTTCACTCAAGACTCGGTAGACGAATTACGATCATGACCATCGTCGATGTTCCAAAGACCCCAAAATTATCTCCTTCTACACTTTCTTGTCCTGTAGCCTAGCGGGTCGGCTGAGACAGAATGTGTAGTCTTCGCCAGAGATACTGATCGGCTGCATCGCAATAGCGGGGCGAGTGGTAGCGAAGCAAACAGTGCGCGATACAGCCAATCTGCCATTCAACACCTCACTCGGAATGCTGTAGGCGAGCTGGATGAGATTGTCGTACAATGGGGAATCGATTTACGCTAGGTTGCTGATCTGTGTTGTTTCTTAGGTGACATTTGACGGAGCGTGCCATGCACGAGCTCGATATGTGCACAAAATGCGGAAATAGCACCGATTCTCACAAAGAGATCATACCAATATGATCGATGCGGTGCAAGCAGGCCAATATCACAATAGCACAGCATAGATTATATTTATTTTGTAAACATATGAGACCAAAGCGCTAAGCTTCAGCTTCGAGATCATTGCGCGAAATAACATCGATGTGGAAGCACCGTAAAAAGAGTCGCATGTACGAACGATTCTTGTTGTAGCGTGCTCTACACATACCGAATAGATTGCTCATCCTATCCTACACTCGCAATGCAGCCTAGACGAAGTTGGATTTGAGTCATTCGTGCAACGCACGATGATCGATCACAACCATGTCTGATCGCGCTACCTGATCATCTCTTTGGCGGTGCCCTGGTGCACATAGTGACCGATCCTAGGTTGATGGCAAGAAGGCCAATGAGTATCTGCTCAGAACCATGCTTCATGCATTACAGATACCAGCGCGGCACCTAGCTTTGTCGGAAAGTAGCGCAATGTAACATTTGTAACGCCTACCACACACTCGAGCAATGGTAGTCGCATCAGACACCTGCCACTGCTTTTTATGACGTCGCTAACGAGCATCAGCAGAAACGTTGCATCGTCGCGATGCACTAACATCTAGCAAGAGACTCTGGCAAGCGTCCCGCGCCTGATTTGCGTGTCTCGATGACTGACCACAAGACATCTCGTCATGGCAAGATGAAGTCGTTTGATCGAGTCATAAGCGTTGAACCACCACCACCGCACCAAACAACCGATGTGCTTTTAGACACGATTACGGACGTTCATGTGCGTGAGAAAGCCAATTATGGCTGGCGTTTGCCTCTAGCCACGAGCTGTTTGCGCAAGTCCACGCATATACGTCTGCAAGAAGACTTGCGTCGGGCGTCTACTGTAACGGGGCAGCCCGTTACATGAAATTGTCACTTTAAGGAAAGTGACAATAAAGAATATAAAGATGGATATTCTTTAAAACAATATCACCAAAGTGGTGATATTGAAGGGTCGACCAAAGGGTCTGTTCATTGGTTGATATCGTGATGATATCAACCCACCAATCGCCGCAAGACGCGCGCAATGAGTGGTGACGAGACGTCACCATACATGCAGTTATATTAGTATAATTGAATTAAGTCAAACGAAGAGACAGTAGTTTAAAGACTTAATTTATTAATATAACAGTTCTACTTTTACCCTACCTACGCTTCCTCGCTTGCCACGTGTACGTCTGTCGGGGCACTCAAAACCCTTGCGTTAAGTTACGCAAGGGTGTGCCCCGTTACACCTGGTAGCACTTTGTAGTCCTTCCAAGGACCACATCATCCAACATGAACATGTTGGATGAAGAAGACACCTTTCACGCCACGCGTGAAGGGTTTACCCATTTGAGTGACATCGAATGGGGTGCGGTAGAACGAATGAGTTCTACCGTAGGCGAACTCGTCGTCAGCACCATGTTGGAGTCTCTAGACAGAGACCAACAACATGCCGCTATCGCCAAGTTCATTCAGAATGAACTTGCTCTCGAGAGGGAGAAAGTAGCCTTGCTTCACCAGCAAGGCTCTCAACAGGCCGAGCAGTTGAGAGAACTCGGTGCTCAACAGACGGAGCTGTTGAGACAGCAGCAATTCCATGCTGCTGTGGGCGGGACGGCGCATGCGCGTCGTCCCGAAGTCATGAAAGTCGACATTTCCAAGAACAGTGGAGTCCCGGAGGACTCCCTGTTACTATGGTTTGTCGAACTCGACAGAGCCCTAAGGGCTCGTCGCGTCGAAGATGAGCAAATGAAACTCACATTTGCTCAGACCCACTTGGCAGGGCGTGCCAAAACTTGGTCCCTGGGACTCGAGAGTAGCGACCCAAATGTGTTTAGGTCGCTAGATGACTTCAAGTCCCGGCTCAGACAAACGTTTGAGCCGCCACGTGCTGAGTTCAGGGCTCGCTCAGAGCTCCTGAAACTCAAGCAGGGTAAGCGTGATGTGCACGCTTACGCACAACATATACGACTCCTTGCGAGTAGTATAACTGCCAACCCAGTACATGAACACACGTTGATTACGGTGTTCATGCAAGGGCTCGCAGAAGGGCCCGTCAGGAGCCACCTGTTCCGCCTTGAGCTGAATACGCTTGAAGAAGCGATATCAGCCGCGGAACAGGAAGACTTTAGCATGAGACAGGCTCATGCTAGCTCAAACTCTTACCGTCCACCGAGACGACAAGAGATCGGAGGTCCAGAACCAATGGACCTCTGCTATGTTGAGAGCGAGAGACCTCGCTCTACAAACAACAAGCGATTGCAGAGGTGCAATCGCTGTCAGAAGTTAGGGCACTACGCATACGAGTGTAGTGCTCCACGCCCAGTACCAAACAGTACTGAGCGAAATGGACGACCTTTTGCCAGAAAGGGCAATGGGCGTGGGTCCAGCGCTGTTGCGAAGCCGCAACAGCGAGACGGACCATCAAAAAATGGTCGGGGTCAGTAGGGGCGGAGCGCCCTACTGATCCAGCAACCTCAAGAGAATTTGCAAATCTCTTGACGAAAGTTGCTCCAGATACACAATCGTTGTGTGTCTCTGCACCTGGTGATGACGTTTCGCTCATC